AATCCTCTGGGCGGCTGGGAGATTTTACCCTTGTCCTCCTGAGCAAGGCTCTTAATCACCAATTGCTTTGGATAAAAGCATCTCCTACATAAATAAAACATAATAACGGTGTTGTACTCAGGGCCTGGAACTGACATTTAGCTACAGGTGACCATAATATGTTTATTAGCAGAATAAATAACATTTACTGGATGTATATATGGGAAGTTTGTACATGTGTAAGGTGGAGGAGTGTGGTTGAGGGTTATATTGCTGTACTGTTAAATTCCGTTACCTAAAGCTCATCTAGTCGAGGTATTTCCAAGGGAGGAGTGAAGGGCTCATTAAAAATGCATAAAGCCTTTAAACGGCACATGCGACGCACATCAGCTGCGCAGCCAGGAGGCTGTGTGGTCGCCAAGCATCTGCTGCAGCTCCTCTCGCACCAGGACGCACGCGAGGTCGGCACAGACTCCTAGGAGGTCTGTGTCGTGACATGCACAGGTGTGCGTCAATGCAGATGTTTGTCTCATCTCATTTGGGGCTCTTCATAGGGTTTTAGTGGCTGTTTTAAGTTCATTGCATTTTATTTATTTAGCAGATACTTTTATCCAAAGTAACAAGCAAGTTATGACCAGGGGTCAGGGGCAGGCTGTGTCCCTGGAGCAAATGGGATTAAGGGCCTTGCTCAAGACCTCAACCATGACATCACTCTGCCAGTTATGGGATTTGAACCAGCAACCCACCGAGTCCTAACCCACAGAACCACATAGTGTACCTGTTTTTGCTGACTAAGCTGCCAGGGGATTAAACAGCAGTCCAGATGTACCTTATAACACTCTCCTGTCCCATATTCCCGCCTTCTGTTGGATTTCTAATTAATTTGCATGCTGCAGTTTTCACTATGTAATGCATAAGAGTTCTGCTGTACTGGATAGGCGGTGAGGAGATGGATGGCTAGATAATGCATGAGAATGCTGTTTGGACTAATGTAGCTGCATTTGTCATGTAAGTCTGGGCAGGCAGTAGGAGAATGTGGAGCTGTGGATTACGGTTCATCTTCTGCTGACTGCTGCTCAACATACCCTCAGCACTTCTTCATTACTATAATGGGAGATTTTTTCAGCAACTTGCCTGGTGCTGCTGTGTATGGTCTTGAGGGAGTGCTTGGGCCCTCTAAGGGTATGATGAAGCGCATCTGGACAGTGTTTGCGAGACGCAGCTGCTGGCAGCAGAAGGGTTGGTACCAGGGCCCTTCTACCAAACATGCGAGCATGCAGCTTGATGGATTGTGCCCAGAATTAGCTATGGTTCAGTACCTGATTATTAAAGCGCAAATCTCACTGCTTTCCAGGGAAATGCCTCTGCTGTATTCTGCTAAAGAGTGCCCCCTAGTTGTCATGTAGGGTAATGCACCTTCTGAGTGTTAAATGGATTGTGAAATCCTGTGGGCCTCCTGTAGGTATTGCTTAAAGGGTTCTGTCTGATGTATCCCTGCATTGGGTTTTGGGGCATAAAATTTCTACTCCTTCTGCAGAAATGGGTTAAGAAGCAGTACTTGCAATAGTCTCTGATTAGTCCCGTCCACTGCTGACAAATCTTCTAATACAGATGTGTGCACAGTACATGCTCTGCCTGTCTGTCATGTTTGTAGTTCTGAGGTCCAGTTCTGATCCAGCTTCATGCCCAAACTGTATTATGACACCTTCTGTCACCACTGGACAGCCATTCATGCTAATGTGCAGCAGGCGCAGGTCTGTCGTCCTGGAAGCGGAGGTCTGGACCCATCCATTAGAATATTATCAGAACCAGCTGTGCATTCCCAGTCCCAATATCGACGGAAGCTCCATCCAGTAACAAGGACTAATGGCTGGGGAGGGGGGCAACGACCTTAGTGAACGTTGAAGGGCAGAATATGACCGTAGTAAATCTCGCAGTTTAACGCTAGCTTTGAGCGCGGAGCGACGGGTCGCTTTGAACATCCCCCGCTGTGGTTTGCTGTGTAAATATTTCCGCGGCCTTGCTGCTCAGCCCATAGGGAGCGCTGACGCCGTCAGTGGACAGGTTAATGTAGTCCGTGTGGGGAGAGCGATCGACAGCATTGAATGAGTTGGTACATCACTGTGTTACGTCTGCTAACAGGAAAGCTAATATTCGGGATTCAGGACAAATAACAGGATACATTCTCCTTCTGTTTCCAATGCTGAATATAGGGTCAGGATGTGACAGCTACAATTTATATACGTATTAAATCGAAATGTAAATGCCACCGAGTTTTCGAGATTTCAGTGTTATACCTGTTTTCGGAAATTATAGGAAAACTGCTCTGATGAGGCCTGCGTGTTCGGGGGACCCGGAACCTTCCACAGCCCGGCTTTTTCCGCTGTTGACACTGCAGTTTGCCACGTGTCAGAGGATGACTGGCATGTAGGCGGCCGTCACGGCCCTGTACAGGCGGTGGGGGGGGTGTTGTGTTTTCCGTCAGGCATGTCGAGCCCGGCAGAGATAACGTTGTCATTCTGGGTGGGACGAGGTGTACTGCCCCCCCGCCCTTAGCAGGTTTGTTTTGACATGGCGCCCTTCAGGGACCGGCTCTGCCTTATCTGTGCCTCCAGCAGGTTGTTTTCATTGTGAAGGTGGGGTGATCCCCCCCCCTCACTCCCTGTGTTATAGGTCACTGTCCATCTACAACAGGGGTGTGGAACCTGTTCCATGGAGGGCCAGTGTGGGAGCGGGTTTTTGGGATGACCTCTCAATCAACCAATAATAAGCTGAGGTTCTTAAATAAAGTCCTAGGGATACACTGTGATTGGCTGATTGAGAGGCCATCCATTCACAAGACCTGCACCTCCATGGATCAGGTTCCTCGCCCCTGATCTTGCAGGCATGCTCGCCATATTATCTGGTGTTTCACATCTCCCTGACAGTTTGGTGCCCCCTTTTGAAACAGTCCCGGTGTGGCACGTGCTGGTTTTGTTAATAGCTTAATGTGTGTGAATAAACCTTAAGAACGGATGAAGTGTGGAGACGGGGCTGCATGTTTACATTCATTTAGCAGACGTTTTTATCCAAAGCGAAAACTGTCAAACATGGGATTTGAACTGGCAGCCTTCCGGTCACAGGTACAGCATCCTACCCCATCAGCCACACACCTGCCCTGCCTGATAGTTGCAGAGACCGGGGTCAGGGCACTAATCTGGGACCATCTTAAACTCCTCATGCTAAGCTGTAGATGAGAGGGACAACCCTTCATTTAGGGCAGTGATTAGCTCAGTGGATGTAGTGGTTTGAGATGGCTGGCGCTGACTCTTGAGTAGCTAGGAGTCAGGTTTTCATTAGCCAGCGACCCCACCGGTCTTCGAGGTTTCCCAGCATGCTGCTGACAGCAGGTTCAGTACTCGGCCACGTCTCAAACTATGACGAATCAATGTTCTGCTCAGCCTTTTCCCAGCTACATGTCATCACTCAGGATGAAGCAGAACCCAAAGCATTTCACTGGGTTTAAACAGGTCAATTATTCCGTTTCTGGCCGCCTTTGCTCTTGGTGCACCAAAGCTCTGTGATATGCACTGTGAGACACCACAACAGTCAGTGTATTCATGACCTGTACAGGCGCATGCTTGATGGAAGACTCTCCCCGACTGACGGTAATCTTTAGAGCGACATGATTTCACACTTTCCTGGAGATGCTGGCGGTGGGGAGGGGCTCCCTTTGATCTTTAGAGCGGAGCATGCTGTCTCTGCTGGATTGGTATTCACATAGGTCAGGTAATACTGAAAAAGGGACAAGAGAAGAATGGGACATTTGAGCGTGTAGTACCTGGGATTTGGACCTTCAGTCGGGTCCCTAGTGAATTCTGCTCCTTTTCCCTGCTCTCTCTCTCTCTCTCTTTCTCTCTGTCCATTACACTGTGTCTCTCTTGAGAGAAAGGATTTTAAGGACTGAATTAGGCTCAATCACCCACCAAGGCAGCCAAGCTCAGGTGAAAACACCAGCGAAACACGAGCCAAGGATCGACCCGAGTTGAGGTCTTGCCCTCATGGGCACAGGAAGCAGGCAGCTACCTGGGCCTGGTTCTGATCAGGCCGTGAAACGGGCTCGTGTTGAGTTCTTCTGTCACCAGATTATACGATGTTAAAAAGTTCCGGTTTGGTGTGGCTTAGTAATCCTCCCTGACTCGTATCGAGGCCTTAAAGCAAACCAGATGTAAGCTTTTCCATATAAAACGTCTCTTTCATGTTCCACACCAGCCTACAAACTGTAAAAAAAAATTAAAAATAATGTCCAGTTGTGTGGCATATTTTTGTCAAGTTAATTACTCTAAGTATATGCAGGGTTGTGCTTTTTTCTATCTGAAACATGTGGCTCCTCTGAGTTTTGCCCAGGAGAAGGTTCTAGGTGTTATTGGGGAACGAAGGGGAAGGTTCTGGCACACTGAAAGAATGGTCGCTGATTAGCGTATATAAGCTTTTTGAATGTGGTTCTGTACCCTGTCAGGTGGTCCTCTCCACTCGCAAGCACCCCTGGAGACACGGAGACCCTGTATGCGGTCAGGCTGCTCGCTTTGGGGGGACGGGACGGCATGGTTTCTCAATGCAGAAACTGTTGGCTGTGAGGAACCAGGCTTGGGACAAACTCTTACTTCCGGCATGAAAGCTGCTCCAGCAGCTGTTTGTTTTGGCCAATGAGCCCCCCCTCCGCCCCCTTCCCCCCCCCCCCCCCACCTTTCTTGCTCTAAGAGCCAGCCAGGACGAGGTGTCTGTTTCCAGACAGAGCTGTATGGGGTGGGGGGGGGCAGTTTTGACAGTTGGAGCCGTGCCCTGTTTCCCAGAGCCGCCCCCGGGACGTCTGCTCCGGAATGTTCTCCGGGAGAGTGGATGCACGCTCGCCACAGCGCCAGGGCTCTCAGGCAGCGCGCAGAGCAGAAACACCCCCTCGGCCCCCGCCGCTGGGAGGTCACGCCCCCGATGACTGTTTGGTTTTGTGCCGCGGAGCTCTGTCAGAGCAGGCGGGCAGGAGGGAGGAAGGGAGGGGGATAGTATCAGTGAGGACGCCTCAGTCTCTCCACGCCGCGCTCCGTGGATGACCACTGCCCCTCTGCCTAAGAGGCTTCAGCCCTATACAGCCGGCAGTGTTTTTTTAAAATTAACTTTGCTTTTTCTTTTTTTCATCTTTCTTTTCTCTCTCGTCTCCCTGGCGTCCGGAGACGCTTGCTGTCCTCTCTCCCAGCCAGTGTGGCACCGGAGCACAAGCTTACTGCTTCGTTTTTAAGAAAATTTTTATTTTTTTAATCTTGCGTCTCCTCTGCGTCTCTGTTTCGAATCCTGCCTTTTCCCGCCCAGACCATGCCGGTGGTTGGGGTGGCCTCTAAGCTTAGGCAGTCGGAGGTGGGCTCCAAGCCGATTCAAACTGCGCACCCCATGCCCAGCCTGGACCGCGCCCCCATGGCGACAAGGGGTTACCTGCCCAGGGGCTCGGATTTGAGGGGTGGCGACCCGGCCGCTTTCTCCTGTACGCTGTCAATCGCGTCCGCATACGGGTACCGCCAGCGGAAGGCTGTCTCGGACTGCAGCAAGGAGTTGCAGGACCGCAAGGTCAGTGAGGTCATTCCCAATGAGCACGTGTGTTTGTGTGTTTGTGTGTGTGTGTGTGGATCTCTCACAGCCGATAGGTGGAAATCATTATCAGTCGTCAGGTTGGGGAGCTGGTCCTCTCATTTCTTATCCTCTGCTTACTTCAGAAAGGGTCAGTGTAGTTATTTTGGGGAGTTTCACTAGTAGAGATGCAGTTAAAAGTAACAGGTGTCCAGGTCAGTTTGGTACAGTAGTTCTGGTTTTCTCTGCTTCGGTATCTAGAGCATCACTCCTGCTAGATTTCCAAAGCTAATATATATATTGTAATGATTTTAGTAAAAGACATAGAGCATTTTGGTGTCTGGTGAATTATTTTCATTTATAGATTGTCAGACGGGCTCCAGTGCACTGCACGGCCGGGGTGGCGGCGTGGTGGAGCGTGTGTGTGTGTTACAGCGTGCACTGAAGCTCAGCTGAGATTTGCACTAGTCAGGATTCACTTTCGCTTTCTACAGCGAGTTGGGAATGACATTTCAGATCGACCGGAATTAATCTGCTGTCTGTCCCGTTCTCCCAAGCAGCGGATTCGTGTTGCGAGGCGTGTGATTGAGAAATCCCAGTTGGCAAACTGCCTTAACATGGCAAACATCTGCGTCGCCCCGAATATTCACCAGAATGACAGCATGGGGCTGGGGGGGGGGGTGCATAGCTGGCCATAGAACAGAGGAGGCAGCCGGCGTTTCAAAAAAGACCCGCCAAAAAGTTACAGTTACACAGAATGCCGTTATTTATTTATTTAATTTTTTGTACCTGACAAACAAACAGGCTTCCCGCCGTCAGCTTCCGGAAGAGTCCGTGACCTTTCCTGAAATGATAACCGCTCTTGGCAGGGGTGTGGGGTTCTTTTTTTTAGGCTCTTGTGATATCAAAGCCGCCGGGGACTAGTGCACATCACTGAGGGGAGAGGCGTGTAATCGTTAACCCCTTCCTGACTGCGACAGGCATGATAAGCTTGGCAAACATTGCTATTGGTACTGCCTCAGACTCCGGCACAGACTCCCGTCAGGACGTTGCTTCTTCCAGCCCGTTCCTGAACTTGACAACTCAGTAGTTCTTCACTCTGTTTATCCTCAACAAAAGGCAACCCCAGTTGAGCAAACCTGGGGGACAGAGCAAAATATTTACTTGTGTGAATGCTTGTGTACACTCACTTTATGGTGTTTTAAACACTAGAACCGCCAGTTTGTTACCGGCACGTTATGAAGGGCTGTGGGGCGGCTGTCATGGTTTCTGTCAAAAAATAAATAAAATAAAACAAAGGATGACAGAATCCTAACTGGTGATATTAAACACGCGACATGCTGTTAAGGGCTGGAAATTAATGAACGATGAAACGCAGTGGGAGAGGTCTGGTTATGTTTATGCAGTGCGTACCATGTGACCTCAGTAAACAGGGCGATTGTGATTCCAAACAAACAGGAGAGACGGCATTGTGGGTTTCCACAGTAACTTAATAATAATAAACTTAATAACGCTCTTTCGGGGGAAAGGAAGCTGTAAGTCTCGTAAAGACATACAGGGCCATAGTTTGGTCCAGCTGTACTCTACCACGTCAAATCAAATCTGATTACATATTTGCTAAGGTACAGGTGAGTGAAAACCAAAAGCAGTGATGAAATAGTGCAAATAAATACATACAAATAAATACAATGTGCAAATCAGAGACCAATACATACAATGACCAGGATATGGATTGGCAGTGAATGGGTGCAATGACCAGAGCTCAGCATTCTGTTGGTCTAGTGCACAGGCAGTGGGTCAATATGTGTGCAGGGTTTAGGGAAAACCTTTAGGTCAGCTGTTCAAACCCAAGAACGAGGACTCTTCTGTCAATCAGTTCTCTAATTAGTAATGTAATTAGGGAGTTGCAGCAAAAACCCGGATACACAGCGGCCCTTTCTGGATAAGATTGCCTACCCCTGGTCCAGGGGAAGAAATTGTAATGGGAATCAGGTCCAGAGAATGGTTTCGTGGCCCTTAGCTGCTGGTCCATCATGTGACCCAGTAAAGGTGCAGTGTGCCAGCATGGCCACAAGTGGGAGCCGCCCAGCTTGACGAGGTCATGGCGCGTTCGCGTGTCTGGGGGAAAGACGCCATACCCATCACTGCCCCCCCCCCCGCATTGCCAAAAATGTGAAAATCTGAAAATACGACACAAGGCCCTGGCAGAGGTCTGGCCTGGGATCCGGGGGGCGGAGCCTCTGCTCAGCGCGGGACGGCACTGGTGCCGGCGTGGCGGTTGTGTTTCACCGTGTCAGCGGCGTCCGTTTTTTTCTTTTCTCGGTGCGGTTTCTTAAAGTGCTGAGTGCGATCTGCTTACGGGGCGCAGCGGTTTAAGAGCTCCACGCTAGAGGCGGGCGGGAGGCTGACTGGTGGATCAGCTTAGCAATGGGCGTCTGTGTCTGTGCTGGGAATCACTCACCGCGCTTCGGGCAAAGCAGAGCATCACGGCACGCACCTCTCCGGGGGACCGGTGTCAAGGTGTACGCGGGGGAGGGGGGCTGCTCCGTGACTTCACGGGGGCTTTCTGAATGCGATCCAAACCGGTTTTTCAGCCACCCCCCCCACCTCCTCCACTGACTTGGGGCGGCTGGGGGTGGGATCTCAGCTCTGTATGGCTGGTTTAGCACACCAGTATCTACTAGCATCCCAGTAGCTCCAAGCTGAGATCTCTGCCAGTCGCACATTTAGCTGCATTACTCATCGTCACTCACCTATCAGCTTCTGCTGCATTTGCAGCCTTGTTACGGTCACAAGGCCTTTCCGGAAACATCTAAGAAGATTCCTATCTGTGCTTGACCTATAGAAAAACAGTGCCCTCTTTGAATTGTGCATCTCTTTCCTGAGCTGTCAGTGGCTGGGAGTCAAGGGGCTTCCCCGAGTTTAGGGGATGGCCCCAAGGAATTCTGGGAAGGTGAACATGGTAAACCTGATGGCTAATCTGCAGAGGTGAGGAAAGGTGCCAGGGGCAGGGATGGGGTGTTAAAGATGCAGCCTGTTCATATCCAGAGGAAAAAGACCCCCCCCCCCCAGTCACCTGAGTGTCATGGCAGTTCCCCTATCGGAGTTTTGTGTGGGGTAATCTCCGCAGGGAAACTCTCTTTTCTCCTACCCCACATACAGGTGAAAGCAAAGCATGGGGGTCACAGCCCGGGGTGTATCTGGGCCAAAAACATAACCTTGGCATTTCAATCTGAAGAAATGCCAGATCCCCATGGGAGGTTTGGTAGATTTTGCTGTTTTGGGGGCCCTGTAAAGTGCTGGGGCTCCTGAATCTGCCAGGGTATCCATGCCCCTACTGTGGCCCCTGTAAAGTGCTGGGGCCCCTGAATCNTATCCATGCCCCTACTGTGGCCCCTGTAAAGTGCTGGGGCCCCTGAATCTGCCAGGGTATCCATGCCCCTACTGTGGCCCCTGTAAAGTGCTGGGCCCCTGAACCTGCCAGAGTATCCATGCCCCTACTGTGGCCCCTGTAAAGTGCTGGGGCCCCTGAATCCGCCATGGTATCCATGCCCCTACTGTGGCCCCTGTAAAGTGCTGGGGCCCCTGAATCCGCCATGGTATCCATGCCCCTACTGTGGCCCCTGTAAAGTGCTGGGGCCC